TTAACTATTTTATATATATATTTGCAGTAAAGTATTATTTTATGTATGCAGAGCCTTGTCAAAAAATATTTAAATAGACAAAAAATGTAAAGTTATTATAATTAAACATTGTATAAACAATAAAATTACCTTTTCTCTCGGACATTCAGCGGCTCTCTTCGTCAATCAAATCAATGCATTCAGGGATATGACCGGGCAGGGTTGAATTAAGCCAATTTTTCATAGAAGGAAATGGTTTGATTTTAGTATTACTCGACGGAAGGTCATATGAACATCATAATTTATGGTAAACTATTGTCATTGTCAATACAATAATAATTTTAATTTGTAATTTTACAGATTTTTTTTTTCTTTATTATTAAAAAAAAGAACAAATATCAATATGTTTCTCTTGAATTAAAGAGAATATTAACTATTTTATATATATATTTGCAGTAAAGTATTATTTTATGTATGCAGAGCCTTGTCAAAAAATATTTAAATAGACAAAAAATGTAAAGTTATTATAATTAAACATTGTATAAACAATAAAATTACCTTTTCTCTCGGACATTCAGCGGCTCTCTTCGTCAATCAAATCAATGCATTCAGGGATATGACCGGGCAGGGTTGAATTAAGCCAATTTTTCATAGAAGGAAATGGTTTGATTTTAGTATTACTCGACGGAAGGTCATATGAACATCATAATTTATGGTAAACTATTGTCATTGTCAATACAATAATAATTTTAATTTGTAATTTTACAGATTTTTCGCATGTTTTAGTTGCCTCGCACGTTTGGTACAATGATGCTGCAATTACTTCGTCCTGCCATGGAGATTTCTAGGTCCCCGGTGTAAAGTTTCCATTGCTGCTCTCCTTGTGTTTCAACTGGAGGTTGAAATGCAAGATACGATAGCGCACCATTTTTCGGATGAGACGTTTAAGCCCTTGGTCCCTTGTGCATTATGGCCCATGTGCACGTTAAAGAACACAATACACTCTTCGCAGGCCCGCAGTCAGGTTCTTCCAAGGATGGGGAGGGGGGTTTCTGGGCGTGAGGCCCACGCCCAGAAACCCTGATTTGTTTGACAATGGGTTTGACCAACTATAGTAAGTCTGCAATCTAGACTATATGTAGCTAATTATTATTCTGAATATGTAATTGAATACCATGATTTGTTTAACAAAGGGTTAGTAAAGCTATAGTAAGTCTGTAATATGGATCACATGTAGCTAATTATTATGCTGAATATATAATCAGGTACATTGATTTATTTGACAAAAGGTTGTGAAGCTATAGTTAAATGCAAGGTACCAAGCGCTTGCATAATAATTATTGCTTACGTGTATGTTTAAACAAGCTTTAAGTTAACATGTTTAATTTGCATATCAAGATCAGGATTGTTCCATTTTATGTAAAGGGATTCTTTCAAATCAAATTGAAAATCAAAGAATCCCTTTATATAAAATGGAACAATCCTGATCTTAATATGCAAATTAAACTTGTTAACTTAAAGCTTGTTTAAACATACAGTTCAAGAAGATTACCAGTTTCTTTAATATAAAAAGATTACTCTTCGTTTGAACAAAGCCGAATTGGATTTTAATTTTGTACATAATATATATACCTGATAAATATAACATAAATCGCCAAAGGTACATATACAATGTTTAGTGGTCTAGAGGTTATGACGCTCGCCTTGTCAGCGAGAGGTCGCAGGTTCGAATCCCGTCGGAGGCATTTTATTACACAATGACTTTTATAGGACTTTATTTGTTGAAAAGCTACAGGGTAGCCTACGATGTTCCATCATGTCCTTATTTAAACACTGTATATGTACCTTTGACAATTTATATTATATATTCATATATATATATACACACACATATAGGCTATATATGTATGTATATATATATTTATATCGCCATTAAATTTTATTATAGACCCATATGTATAAAATAGACATAGATCATAGATGTTGATTGTTAAAATGTTAATATCAAATAATAAGATGTAAGATGTGTGTGTGTGTTGTTTTTTTTTTATAATATGTATATACAATTCTTAATATTTATTTTGAGATATCCTGTTTTCTAGATTTCTTTGTGATGCCATTAAATACGTATTTGGGTTATTCGGTTATTCTATTCATTAAACTAAGTAATGGTAAGTTGTAACTATTGTATGTAAATTTCATTTTATATTTGGAATTTTATTTTGTGAACTGGATTCTCTATTAGGTATTCAGCTCTCAGCTTTTATCAAACGCATTGGCCTTGTAATAGATTGTTCTTTATTTGTGTGGCATGTATTTTTTTCTTTTTTTTTTGTTTATATATTATAAATAATATATAGATCTCCCTCCAATGAAAGACTCTCCAATTAACGACCACCTCCAATTAAACACCATTATTCTGTGGCCCAAAATTAACAAATTTCTTTTATCTTTATCATTCTAATGAGAGACCAAAGCTGCAAAAAGACCATTGAAACCATTTTCCCAAAAGTAGTCTTTAATTTAAGAGAGACCTGTATAGACTGTGGTGCTTTCAGCGTATCTAGAATGTTGGCCTCTATTCAGGGGCAATCTTAAATAATTGGAATAACGTGATGCTTTTTATCAGCCAATTGTGTTTATGAGGCTTAGGAAGTGGAGGTAATTTTAGTCGTGAAAAAATATCATGAATTGATCATGAATTGAACCAGCACCCTGAGATTAGAAGGCAATAATCTTAACAACTTCGACATTCAACTCCACTATAGTACACGCTACCAATAATTATACAAATTTATTATATTCACAGTTCATTAACTAATTAAAGCAGTAATTTGTGTATATAGGCCTATTGAACTTTTACAATCATTTCAATCATTATCATAATGTCAGTCTATTTATTTTCAGTTGTAAATGGTCTACGCGCACCAGCTGTCATGGTATTAGATTCCAATGTTAATTTAGGCGAAGATGCTACCATTAAATGTGCATACGAAATATTTGATGCAAGAAGCCGGGATACAGTTTCATGGTTCAACTGCACTTCAGCGGGAACTATATTAAATGTGCTATTTAACACTTATATTGATATAAGTCCTAAAGGCAGATATAGTATTGATATCTCACAAGATAATGTAGCTATTCTCACTATTTCAAATACATTATTGTCAGATAGTGGATATTATAAATGCACAGTTGTTGATTCAAGCTTTTACAGCAACAGTGATTTTGCAAGTCTGACAGTTCAATGTAAGTACACAGTACACATAATTAATGGATTGGTAGGCCTTTAATTAATAACAATAATATTTTGCTTGATTATTTTCTTCGGTTTTGAAACTCACCAAGAATAAACCGAGAATGTCTGAACTTATTTCCAATGGATTCCATTTCAGTCGCTGAGAGGAAATACCTCTTATATGACTGCTAGTTATGAATTATTCTCCTACCTGCATCTTCATCCGTCCCTTATAATATACGGTAACGTAGTTTTATGAAATTGCCTAAATTTCTCTATGATTATAGTACATTGCCTCCTAATACTGTGTATGAAATATATGAGCATAATAATAATTAGCAATTCATCATTAAACTTATTCGTCAATCAATCAGTCAATCAATCAATTTATTAGGAATAACAACTTAAGATCGGTGGCACACACAACAATAATAGTGGTGCATCCGTCACTTCGAAAAAAAAAATTAACATATAAATTGCAGTTATTTAACATTCGCCACACATTCGCCACTTCGTGAAGAAAAATAAATTAGTGTCTCCTGAATAGGGGTACCCCCCTAGTACCCTATTCAAGGGGAAATTTTTTTGGTCCCAAAGGTATCCCCTTAATAGGGGTTCAACAGTACGCTGATTATTTATGCTTGCACGCACTGCCTTTTAAGGAGAAAACTCTACGCGAGATATGCGTAGTGCGTGAAAAATGACACATTTGCTGGTTTGTAGTAAACAAACCGATTTATATAGCGATATTCGTCAGTTTGCTAATTAATATTCTTCCTTTTTTTATATATTCTACACAGTAAGAAAACTTAAATTCACAAATAAAAAAAAATGATTTTTCCACATTCGCCACTACGTTATATAAAGGAATATTGCACACGACCAACGACCACAACAACTGTCAGATAGGCCCAACTGTATGTATTTTAGCCCTCTCCCCACCCCACTCCGACTGAAATGTGAATAAAAATGAAAACCAATCCACCAAAATTAAATTCTGAAAATGGAACGATAATTTGAAGTGATGGAACTAATAATTCAATTTAGCTCTAATTCTACGGGTTTATGTTTTTAAAATTACAAAGTGGAAAAAACCATGCATCCAAAAATAATGACCATCCAATAAATGCACCTGAAAATGTACATTGCTAATTATAGTTTATGACTTTTACCTCTATTGAAAAGGTACGTTTGTCTTTAAAGTAAAATTGTTGTGTTTGATAAGTTGGCATTTTGAATTTTATTATAAGCCTACTACCTCGGTGTTGACTACATCAAGGATGTAGTAAACGGCAGTGGTAGTGTACTGAATTTTAATTTCTACAACGTTATTTGTCTTACAGATTTAGATGAAATCATGATTGATGTCAGTTCCTATACTGATGAGCGAAACGTTATAATAACGTGTTCTGTAAATGGCTATCCAATTCCTCAGATGGAACTATATAAGGATGACACTATCATCATGACAGAAACTACAAAACTAATATACATGATAGATATTATAACAGAGAGTGACGGAGGAAGTTATAAATGCAACGCAAGTAACATTGTTGATGTTAAGACAAGTGAAATAGTACTTGATTACTGTAAGTATGCAGTTCGTAAAGCGCAAAATACATAAATAATGTATGCGTTGTAAGAACAAGTACACACATAGGCCTATATAGTAATGCAAAAACAAAAATAATAATAAAGATGAGATTTTCCTAAGCAAGCCAGCACCAAAACCGGAGTATGGGGATGTGCGCTCAACGCACCAAGTATTAGTCTAAATGTGAAATAGGATAAAAGAGGAAACATTTTCTGCGCCTTATTATTTGTGTATGCAGGCTTTACAATCCTTTTCTCAAATCTCATGAATATATTAAATATATGTTAAAATTGTATTTAATCAAAAACTGGAACTTACTATAATTAACGTTGAGTGACGTTTCGTCCAGCTCCGCTGAACTTCTTCAGACAACTGACCCGTTGGATTGATCACGAGTCAGGTGGCGAGGAATGCTGCGCAGTACCGGGTCCCAAGTCCTGGATAGTCCTCCTTTTCGGTTCAAACTATGGTTCTCTACCCTCTCCCAGATCGCTTCTTTAACCCCTCTTTCGAACCACTTATCCTCTTTATCTAGGATAAGAACGTCTGGTTTGGATGTGTGTCCAGAAGTTTTGAGGTGGTGGAAGACTGCCGATTCCTGTGCTTCATTTGTACTAGGTATGTGATGTTGGTTGACTCGGGCTCGTAAAGCTTGCTGTGTCTCCCCTATATAGGTTTCGCTGCAACCTGGTGATGAGCACTTAATCCCATAGACAACATGTGAAGTTTTCTCTTTTGGTGTTCTGTCCTTTACTTTTACTAGTTTCCCTCGGAGGGTTGATTGGTTTGAGACTAGATTGAGTTCCAAACTTACGTAGTGACTTCTTGATTTTCTCTGAGTATCCCTCCAAATATGGCAATGCGACTCTAGCATTAATGTTTTTAGTCGAGGTTTGGCATTTCTTTTCCGGGTTATGTCTATTATCCTTTTCAAATTCCCACAAAGGATACCCGCATTTCTTTAAGGCGTTTTTAATGTGTAGTTTCTCAGAAGCTATCTCTTCTATGTCAGAAATAACTGTATCTGCTCTGTATTCTAGTGTGGTGATAATTCCTATCTTGTGTATAAGGGGATGGTGTGAGTCAAACTGCAAGTAGTGATCGGTGTGGGTAGGCTTCCTGTACACCTTCGAACTTAATGTTCCCGTTTCGTTTACGGTATCAAGAAAAACAAGCTTGCCATCAACTGATTTATCTTGAGTAAACTTAATATTTCCGTCTAAATTGTTTATGAAATTGAAGAAAGATGTATCTTCATTTTTCTCAAGGATAACAAACGTATCGTCTACATAACGTATCCCTGATAGGTTTCAAAGATACGTTGTTCGAAATTTTCCATGTAAAGATTAACAATTATAGGGGAAATCGGTGATCCCATAGCACATACATGTTTTTGAATGTAGAAACTGCTGTTGTAAGAAAAATAGGTCGTACTTAAGCACAAATCAAGTATATCAATGATTTGATCCAGCGATAGATTCGTTCTTTGGTTGAGTGTATCGTCCTTCAAGAAATTCCCTCGTTACTGCTATGGCATCTGTAGGTGGAATACAGGTAAATAGAGAACACACGTCATAAGATGTTATAATCTCAGTTTCACTAAGTGTTATATCCCTGATCTTTTCAACAAAATCCTTTGTATTTCTCAAACTGTATTGGGATGTACCGACGAATGGTTTGATTATTTTTGTGATGTACCGGTATTTAGCTAAATTGTATGAGACAGAATCAATGCAACTTACGATGGGTCGAACCGGAATCGGATCAGGTTTGTGAATTTTTGGCAAGCCGTAGAAAGCAGGTATTTGAGGTTCAGAATGTGGAAGAAGATCGTATTTACGATGCAGTTCAATAACGTTAGATTCCACCAGTTCAGTGACAAGTTTAACCGCCTTTTTCCTGTAACCATTGGTTGGGTTATACCCTATCTGTTTGTACGTTTTGGTGTCTCTCAACAGGTCCTGGCACTTACTGTTGTAATCTGATTTATTCAGAACGACAACGCATTTATCTTTATCTGCTGGGACTATAGCAATATTTTTATCGGATGTTAATGACTTCAGGGCCAATCTTTGTTCTTTAGTTAAATTACTTGTTGGTGCTGTGGTATTTCTTATAATGGAACTAACCTGGTGTCTCAATTCCTCCGCCTCCGTCTGATTAAGGTTAGCCTTCTTAATGGCTGATTCGGTGACAGTAATGAATTCCGAAATAGGTGGTTTCTCCGGTGTAACAGAGAAATTTAAGCCCTTCGCTAACACAGACTCCTCCGCCGTTGTTAAAACTCGTTCAGATATATTCATAACCCACTTCTTACGAGAAATAGTGTCAGCACACCTGTTTCGCCAATTAAATTCCGTAATGCTTTTGTTATTTAGTTTCTCGAGCTTCTTGGTTTGACGTTCTTTCGTTCTTACGTGTTGTGATAGTTGCACCTGGTAATATTAATGACCGTTCAAATATTTCAGCAGGTAGGAGTGTGGATAGTTTGTATTGTATTTTCTCCTTTTTCGTTGCTAATATACATATGTTAAAGTTAATTTGACGTATTCTCTCATTGATAAGCTTTCGTTCGGCATTTTTAATGATGTTGTTAGCTCTATGGCCATTTACGTTAGATGATACGTTAGATATTATATATATGCTTCTGTTTTTCAGATGCACCAGTAATTACTTTTGTTCGTGACGTCATTGTTGGTCCCGGAGAAGATATTGTTGCTGCGCCTAAAGTTTCAGCTAATCCTAATGACATCACTTATAAATGGGTCACTAACCCTCCTGGAATTAACGATACAGATAATGACACAGCCACCTTTACGTTCAGAGTAGCAGAAGTTGTTGGCACAAACTATACAATAACTGTGACTGTTACTAACAGCATTGGATCAGCAACAAACTCTGTCAAAATCACTGTACAAAGTAAGCGTTTGAACCTCTTACTAAAACACTAATTATTATAACTGATTATATTTCAGTAAGCCTATAAAAAACCCTATAAATCATGTTAAATCCAGCGGTGTTTAATATTGATGACGTACGTTGTTGTTGTTTTTTTTTAAATTAATTGTTGCACGTTGTATATGATTGATTCTGTATCCAATGACCAAGTAAAACCGCCTTGTTTGATTAACAAAACTTTTCATTTGTTTAAATGGTATTATACCGTAGGTTATATCTTGATAGCATCTTTGTTCTACTCTATAGTATACATTAGCTCCCCTCGCTTGATTCTGTACAAAATATAATATGTTGAATATTTCAGCGCGATTAGCATTGCCTCATATTGACTTCATCTTTTAAATTTGCTTGATGTCTAATTTAATGAAATTGATTAGAGCTGTTAAAAGTTCTATTATAGTGTGTAGGTATGTGTATGTATGTATATATATATATATATATATATATATATATATGAAATATTATGTT